TGCCCCAACCAATGAGAAGAAAAGGAGCCAAGATAGAGGCGCGTGCAAGCAACGGCTGATTTTTGGTGAATTTTTGAAAAAATTATTCGTTTTTGGGGATTTGTGTCTTCCCCATGGGGAATTTTGGGGATCCGACTTTTGATTCGTCAATCTAAAATCAGGCTCTATTATGGGCCAAAATTTCATCTTCGTAGCAGGGCTGGAAGTACGAAAGTGGGTCTAAAAGTGTCGATTTCACGTAGGTACCAATACGGCGAGGACAAGGACGTAAAGTCAAAATCAAAATCTGAATGCGGATCTGAATCTAAGTGTTTCTTCGAAATTCTTTCGGGGTCCCTGCGCCATTAATGAAAGAATGGCTACAAATGTGGTTTCTTTACGTTGGTTCCAAAATTTATATTTACCCTTTGTCCCTTTGAGACCTTGTCCCTAATTAGATTATCACCACGATGGGCACGTGGACGTCAAGTAATGGTCTATAAACAGACACTACTTTATATTAACTATAGTGATTAATGACCTAGATAATCCTGCAGCCCGATGGACATGGGACCTCAAGTAATTGTCTATAAACAGACACTACTTTATATTAACTACAGTGATTAATCACCTAGATAATCCTGCAGCCGATGTATAAACAGACACCACTAAATATTAACTACAGTGATTAATCACCTAGATAATCACCACGATGGGCACGACGACGGCATGGAAGATGGCAAGTGCTCTCATGGCTGGGGCATGAAGCGACCAAGTGTGTTTGAGCTCCTCGACAATAATGGACATTCCGACATGACCATGGCGCTCATGAAATGCATGGCCACCAAAAATGGGATGGTGGGTATTGGAAACCCTTATAATTAATGATGATATTACCTCTATTAATCATTTTGGGCTCTGATAAGTTAATCCTTATTAATCCTTTGGGCTTCGATATATAAGCACATAAAATGAAGATTTGAGTGTCATAAACTATCACTTCCAGGAGAAAATTTGGTTCATTGTCCAAGTTAACTCTCTACCGCCGTATGTCACTCTCCGGGAAGATAACTTTCAACTTAAATAATACTTAAACTATTGAGTGTAGCAACCTGCGGACGTTTGTACGCAACAGAGAACATTTTAAAGTTGTCGGATGTGGCGGCAACCATCAGTGCAAATAATTTTACGCTCACTAGAACGTATCCTTTTTGGGAAGTAGGCTTGTGACAATATATTTGTCTGGTTAGTCGCGTCAGGCGGTAGAGGGTTAAAATACCTTTAATTATTTGATAGCTATTCTGGTATGTTTGTTGTAAATAATATATGTCGAAGTTTAGGATTGGAAGGCATTGAAAACTTAGAAAACTTAGAAGGCAATGAAAACTTCTAAGATTTCAGCGCCACGAGTAAAAATGCTTAGTTTGTAGGTGTCGAGCGTGAGAATTTGACAGGAAATTTATTAATATTTGTTGGTAATTAAAGAATTCTAAAACTCAGTTGTCAACGTCATTATTCATTTGAACTTGACACAGGTGAAGGCGGACGGATCTTTCGATATTGAGAGCTACAAATCCCAGCTTCTGTCCAAAGTTGCAGGCTCCAACATGGAAGTCAACACCAAGAAAGGACTGGATTCCTGCCCGACCGATGCTCTGGTCAAGTACAATGTAAGGAAAATTTGTTTTTATGTCATGCCAGAAAAAGTTTTATGGTTTCTTGATGAAACTTCAAAATAAGAAGTAGATTATTTCTATACGTAAGGTCGTCGAGGAGCATGACTTCTCTAAAAGAGCAAGTATTATACTCCAGGCTTTGTAACGTTGAAGGTAGAGTTCTGTCTCTAACAGAGCAAGTATTATACTCCAGGCTTTGTAAAGCTGAAGGTAGAGTTCTGTCTCTAACAGAGCAAGTATTATACTCCAGGCTTTGTAACGTTGAAGGTAGAGTTCTGTCTCTAACAGAGAAAGTTAATACTTTATAATTAATAGGTAAATACTGAAAAATTCCATTTGTAATAAAGTGTTATAGATAAAGATGTCATGTGACGTGAAGACGTCACATGCATCCTCTTCAAACAATTATAAGATTTTTAATTACTTTTCCCTTAATTTTAATAAAATTAACATATAATATTTTTCAAAACCACATATATGAGACAAATATATAGAACACAAATTGATATATTAGGATATTCTAAAAAATTTAATTTTATAGCGTCCAATTTTGTTTCTTATCGTGCGCGTTCAATTTATATTCATGTCATTATTTATTCGAAACATAATCTGTATTTTTCTGCATATGCATCTTTTAAGTGAATTTTTAAATTTCATATGGGTAAATTAAACTAAAGACATGATTAATATATTGTCAATATTCTGTTCACCATGCAGATATTTCGAAACTTTTTCAACTTCATCAACATTGAACATGTTGCGGTCAGGCGGGTCAGCCTTCGCCCTGCTATGCATGGCCGCGTTAGCTCTCGCTCTCCCAGGTCCTACGGGGTACATGTAAGTGCAATTATTTATGATTATATACTTTATGCATTCATTTTATACATAATATTTATTCATGCATTCATCATTATTCATGCACGGAGAAAGACGAATCGAGTAGTTTCATTTTTCGGTAAGTTTTAACGCTGTTTTATCAGCCGTAAAATAACTGAATTTACAAGGCAAGCCTATTAAAACAAAATTCTTGTACAATTAATAGGTTTCATACGGGAAAACTCTTAGTTTGAGATATTTTAATTTCAAATTAAAACTGCAACGAAAATGTTGAGAGTAATTTTCAGTAAGGGAATAGATTAATATATTTATTAGTTAGCACTCCCTAATGGCCAACGTATTTCATTTAAATAATACAGTCTATTATAGGAAATTTCTTGAATTATTCACCACAATGTCGGCACAGGATGACTTCTGAAGGCCGTAGTTGCTACATGGCCCTGAAGACCAGCAAAGATAAAGTCCACATGAGCGCCATGATGGACGCCGACATCGCAGAATAAAATGGACTACGCTCCCTCATCGATTCTCTCAAGGGTGAATTTATTACACTGAAATATAATTTGTGCGTTATTGAACGAAATTTGTTACACTGAATTTACATAATTTAAATTGTAAAAGATTCGTTGCACGACTATGATTTCAAATAAAATCAGTAAATGACCGCATACCACTAAATAGCACAATTTACAGGTCACCTAACATGCTGCTTTATATCTTATATTTTTCAATTTTTATTCCATACAATTTTTTTATTAGTAAAATTTCCAACTTAATACCTTTCTCTTCAAGCTCAAATTTTGATAGTGTTTGTAAGTCGATCAAATTAGCGTGTAAAACATACGAGTACAATGGAAGGATGGCTACAAATATGGTTTCTTTTCGATGGTTGCAAAAATTATATTCACCCGTTGAGTCCTTGTCCCTAAATAAAGGATCACTACGATGGGCACGGCGACGTCAAGTAATGGCCTATAAACAGACACCACTATACATTAATTATTGTAATTAATCACCTAGATAATCACCACGATGGGCACAGTGACATCAAGTACTCCCCTATAAACAGACAATACTATTTATTACCTATATTTATTAATCACCTAGATAATTACCAAGATGCGCACTATATATATATACGACGGCATGGGAGACGGCAACTGCTCGCATGGCGGGGGCATGAAGCGGCCAAGTGTGCTTGAGCTCCTCGACAAAAATGGACATTCCGACAAGGCCTTGGCGCTCATGAAGTGCCACCAAAAATGGGCAGGTGGGCATAGGAAACCTTTGTAATTAATGTTGATATTACGTACCTCTATTAATACTTTTTGTGCTTTGATAAGTTAATCCTTTTGGGTTTCGACGTGGACACAAAAAAAAACAACATCTGAGTGGCATAACCTATCACTGCCAGGAGAAAACTTGGTTTATTGTTTAAGTTAAATGCCTTTAATAATTTATATAGGTATTCTAGTATTTATGTTGTAAATGAAATATATCAGTGTTTAGGATTGATAGGTATTGGAAACTTAGTTATCTTCTCCGATTTCAGCGCTACGAGTCAAAATGTTTGGTTTGCAGGTGTCGGGCGTGAGAATTTGACCGGAAATTTTCTGATATTTGTTGGTAATTGAAGAATTAAAGTTATCAGTTATTACAGTTTTTGTTCATTTGAACGTAGCGCAGGTGAAGGCGGACGGATCTTTCGATATCGAGAGCTACAAATTCCAGGTTCTGGCCAAAGTTGCAGGCTCCAACGTGGAAGTCAACGCCAAGAAAGGACTCGTTTCCTGCCCGACCGATGCTCTCTGGTCAAGTACAATGTAAGGAGAATTTGTCTTTATGTAATGTCAGTATAAGTTTTATAGTTTCTTGATAAAACTTCAAAATGTAAAATACATTTTTTTACATGAGGTTAATCGTCTAGGAACGCGAAACCTTAATTTATGCTAAGTTCATAAAAACATGCACATAATTTGTTTATATAATCATGTGTAGTAACACACACTTTAAATATAGAGTAATAATTAAATTAATGGAATGCATGCATTATTTGCTTCAATTTTCAGGTGATGGAGTACATGTAGTGCGTATTGAGTTACTGTGCGACCGGATCGGCTCCCATCACCACCACCACCTCCTCCATCCTCATCACCCATATGTAGTTATCGACCACCTGACCAGCTTCTGAATCTCTCATGTATTAATCTATACGGACTATACCTATTCATTTAAGAATTTCTTCATTCCTTTCAAATTTACAGCTCCATCCCTCTTCCTCCAGGTGTTGATAAATTTTCTCGCATTATGGTTTTTTCCTTTTCGACCCCTAATTATTTCTGTTATTTCTTATCTATACATTGAGTCAAATTCAAAAGTCAAATTTATCTTCTTACGACCCAAAGCTAAGACAGCAAGCAAGCTTCAAAATTATATCATAACTTCTATTGTGCAGCGCATAGTACTAAATTCTGAAAAAAAAAATCTTTAAAATTTAATTTAAAATCTAGCTTAATTAAAAGAATTAAAGAATCTTTACTCACAACAAATGAAGTCTTGCAAGCACGCCGAACGCTACCGTTAGGTCCTACAAATTACTTGTGAAAGTTACATTAAACCACGTCCAATAGTTTAGGAGACATTTCATGGTCGATGGAATTTTTCAAAACCGGCCGCGAGTCCGGCCACAGAAAAGCGTGGGAGCGCAGCCGTGCACCACCAATTTTGTGCACCAATAAGCCCTGAATCGAACGCTTTTGATCTCTCCGGACATACACCACTCGGCTTTGTCCTCTTCCGGCCTTGACCACCACCTGCCGTGCACCACCAGGCCGCGGATCGAATATAACTTCCGGGCATTGTTACATTACGTAATTTCACGTTCACCGCGTCTGAGGTTAGGTTTCAGATAGCATAGTTCTGTTCCAAAATTTATCGTCCTTCGACGAGTGGCCGTTCGACAGAGGGCTGTTTTGACGCACGACCTAGATACGGACGGCTTGAAGTGTTGAAGGCTACGTTCCGGAAGGCAGGAATCATGATGCATGGTCCATTACATCCAAGGCAGTGATAGTCTTCGGCAGGCGACCCAAAAGCGTCATTTTGCCGTACAGCCGTGTAACTCGCGAATGAAGGCGAAATCGAAAAAATCACACGTGGGCTTGACATCATCGTTTGATGGTTATGAATGCAAAGTTTCACTGAAAAAGGTTCAGCAATTTGGGAGATATTTCGTGGTCGCTGCGTACATGCTGCGTATATTTGCCCCAATGACCGTATAAGTCGAGAACTAGGGCGAAAGCGAAATAATTCGCACGGACTTGACATCACCATTAGGTCTTGAATTATACATGTGTAAAGTTTCATTAGGCTACGTTCATTTTTATGAGATTTCATGGTCGCTGTGTATGTGCAGAATTTTGGAGATCGTCCGCTAACATGGTTGAATATGGTTGAACTAGCAAGTCTAGTATATAGTTCAACCATGCATCAACCTGCGGAAATCGACTAAAATTAAAAAAAAGTATGTGTCTATAATCTATAATGTTCTCCTTGAACGAGCAATGGAGCAAACGAAAAATAAACTATTTATACTCATCCGTTCAATAAGCAGTGATCAAACTCGGAAAGGCAGTCAAGCAACGAACACGGACGTCGAGTTAGTGAATGGTTTGTTTACTATCGACGTAAGCAGTTCAGGGCAGACAGGGCTTTCAGCAGGTCTGATTCCACTGTCAGCTGTCGCCGCTCGATATTGCACGTTCTCTTGGCTATGCAAATGAGTGCATAATTCACATAGATCGTGTAAATTATTGCATTCGGATCAATATCAGTTGCAGAATGCAAGTCCGCTAGCGACTAGTGCTGTAGTCTGTACTCTGTAGTGCATGGTTCATAATGATAACTTCACAACACCGTCGCGACGGTCGCGTCAAATGTCAATCGTCATGAATACTTAATAGGCTAGTCTGGCTACTCAGTGGCTACTGGCTAGATATGATAATTTGAAAAGTTCAGCTATGGGAGAAGGATCAGTATGGAGTTGGCTAGGTATAGTGTTACTTTTACATGAATGCTACTGCACTCAACTTAGGTACCTAAGGCTAGTGCTGCTAGTCCCTGCCCGGGCTGCTCCCTACCTAGTCGGCTTACTCGGCTAGTCCCTGGCGGCTGGCACTCCCTGCTGAGCTGCTCAGGCTGCTATAAAATAATAAAATTGTAGCTTATTATGCAACATGAACTTAAATTAAAAGTTATATTTTTGGTACTAATTCATTTAGCATGATATATTATATATGAATGATATAATGAATTAGTACTCTAAGTACTGTAACTGTAGCAGTAATCCGCACTCAGGAATGATGATCTATGTTTTTGGTGAATTTTCCCACGCATTTTCACTTTTTTTAAGCTATTGCTGTCATGCTGTGCCATGGTCAGGAAGGTGCAGCGTGTACGCCGGAGGTTCGTTTTCGGATGTACGCCAGTACGCCAGGAAAGAAAGTTGCCAATATGCTTGCTAAAAACGGAAGTGTAACCCTCACCAATGCTGCATGATCGACACAGGCACATGTACTTTACGATTGATGCCTGGCGATCGTCACAAACACACGTGCTTTACGATCTATATAGCCGATGCCCAATGATCAATACTGAATTGCGCGCTCTTTACGATCAAAGTGGAAGATGCCTAATGATCGACACAAGCGCGCGC